ATATATATATATAAATCTAGTACAAAGAGAATTGCATACCGAAGGTGAGAGAGGCTTCAACTTATGGAGAGAATTAAAATTGATTCAGTTTATGGCATTAGGGATATATATAGGTCCATTAGTGTATTTATTTAGAAGAAGAAAAAGGGCAGTATCGTTTGTTTCAGTGGGGGGTTAGGTATGATGTTTGCTTTTATAAAATAAAAAAACAAAAGTACAAAACGTGCGTTTAAAACACGTTAGCTGAAAAAAATAAAAGTAAATTTAGGTTTTAGTCAAAAAAAAAATTTCACTTTTGGAAAAAGCCAAAACTTTTTCAAAAAAGATAGAAAAACCTCTCAACTTTTAAATCAAAGACATGCAAATGTAAAGGATTCATTAGGAAATCCAAAAATAAATAAGGGCAATTTTGTCTATTTTGGCTTGTTTTACAAAATTTCTCTCTCCTTTGTGTTTTTCCAAAGTCTCCCAAAAATAAAAACCACTTAAGTAACTAAATGAAACGTTTCGACCAAAAAAAAAAAAAAAAACTAAATGAAACGATGTCGTATTAAAACAAGCCCTAACCAAAAAAAATTCAAGCGAGGTCGTCTTCTTCCTCGCGCTTTGGCTTGCAGACAGCAGCGCTTCTTTACACCTTCCACGCCTCGCCACGCACGCCTTTACATGCCTCGCTACGCTAAGCGTGCAACAAGCTAAACATTCGTATGACTAAGGCGATTTCCCTCCGCCTCGCTCCGATGCGCTCTCCGACGCCCGCTTAGGCATGCTTTTGAAAACACTGGTCCTATACCGCATGCCCTCTGTTCTGGTAATTGACTATAAAATTGTTCTCTGTGTTTTGTTTTATTTATGGTTAAGATCAGGATATCAACCAAACAAAACAAAAACAAAAACAAAAACAAAACAAAAAGAGAAGTCCTAATATACCAAAAATAGCAGAAAAGTAGAACAAAACAAACAGTAAATTATCCAAACCCGGCACTGATTAGGCATGCAAATTTACGAAATGGAATTTTGGGAAACTCTGATCTCATTATGCAGTTTTGGTGTCTGTGTTTCTGCTAATTTACTCATGATGGTAGAAAATGCATTAATATGCATGGTTCTTAATTAAATACTGACATTAGGCCTTGTAGTTCTTACAACTTGAGATAAACAAGCAACGATGATTACTCTGAGATAAATAAAAACAGTTAAGCATCTTATACTTGGGATTTTTCAGTAGACGGAGGATGATAAGGAATGGGAATCAAGTGCAGATCGTCTTTTCTTTTGACTGTAGCGCCAAAGGCCTCAGTCATGTCCAGGTCCTCATGCTTCATCCCACTGGGGAGTTTCCAATCAAAATGGTATAGCAACAATGCAAGTGGGAGCTCAACGTTGGCCAGTCCAAATGACACGCCAGGGCACATTCTCCTTCCAGCACCAAATGGGATATATTCAAAGTTTGTTCCCTTGTAGTCAATCGAGCTATCGAGGAACCTATCTGGATTAAAGCTCTCAGGCTCATTCCAGTAATTGGGATCTCTACCAATTGCCCATGCATTCACAATTACCTTGGATTTCACAGGAATTTCATATCCATCAATCTCACATTTCTCTCTGCATTCTCTTGGAAGTAACAGGGGACCCGGAGGGTGTAACCTCAGTGTCTCCTTGATAACTAAGTTTAAATATTTCATCTCTCTAATGCATGTTTCATCTACCTGTCCTTTTCTATTAAACACTTCCCTCACCTCATTCTGTGCCATGTTCATTACTCTTGGATTTTTTATCATTTCTGCTATTGCCCAATCTACAGCTGTAGATGATGTCTCACTCCCAGCAGCAAAAATATCCTGAAAGTAATTAATTTATTAAATGATCGAAAACTAGTTTCCTCTATGAATTGCAAACAATTCTAAGTAAATAGAAAAATATTATAAATAATCTTAAAAGAAGAAACCACTATTCATGTACCCAAGTAAGCTCATTCACAAGTTATAAATGTTGACTTGTAAGAGTGTCTTAAATATTAGTTACTGATTATGGAGAATAATAGACACACGTGAAACACTCTCATCAGTAAATTACTCATCATGAAAATGCTGCACATTGGATTTTCAATCAACAGTTTAAGATAATGTATGATTAGAATGCAGGAAGAATTTTAACCAGCTTTTTCAAGTAGATAAGTTGTTATGTGGTTTCGAATAAAAGAGCGCAATGTTGTCCCTTGTACTTGAAGAACTAGTTGCAGAAGCTTTGGACGGCTGCAGGGAATGAAGTAAGGGAGTAGCTGAATTTGCTTAACTAGATTATAGCTCAATTTTTTGGTGTCTGTAGAGGTTAGTCGATGTGAAAGACCACCCATATTTTTTCTGGCCTCGTTAACAACATTGTTTGAATCTTTGGTGACTACACTACTTGTAGTGTGTCTACAACGCGGTTTGTGCTATGATTACTCTTCTAAGGATGAATGTTGAAGGAAATAAATGGTACTTTTGTGGTCATCAAGAACCAGAAAATATTACCAGTATGCTGAGACTGATGGAGGGCCGTGTGTGGAGACAGCTTGCGAAACTACTTCCAATGCCCAATCACTTAATGGTTCTAGCATAGCAAGGAATAAGCCCAAGACAGATGTTAGGAAACCTATCAGGTTTCAAGATGAGTATATTCAATAACTTGGGAACTCTACGTTTGTTGGGCTGGGACATAGGACTTGCTGTCAGTCATTAAATATGGTTTTAATCTTCTGTTGGAGATTATCTCCTATAAGTCAGTTGTATGGACAACTCTTGTAATCCAAGTTTGAATAAAAAACCATTGAGTTAGCTGTCAAAGCTTCTCTTTTAGCTTGTATCTTGTTATTCCAATCCCAATTCTCTGCAAATTCTAGTTGAACTGCATCAGAGACCCAAGATCCCTTCAATATCGTAGCCAAGGTTACTTGACAGGGTCGACATGATTGGAAGATATGGTGAGGTGACACAACTATTCAGTCTCATAATGCTGGTGAAGTTAAAAGTGAAGTGTCATATCTATATTCCCATAAGTTGAGGCCTATTTAAGTTTGTGAGGTTGGGTTAAGTCCAAACCAGACAATATTTGACTGTGTGGATGCAGATCATTACATGTTGCACCAGAGACTAAACCACCCCAAGGTGTCTGGTTCCAAAGGGTTCGATACCAAGACAGATAATAGTTGATTGATGTCATAGATTAAGAAAAAAATTGATATAGTTTTTGGAGTAAAAAAAATTGAAATTTGAAAAAGTGATTTGACTTATTAAAGCATGATATCAAGGCAAAGTGTGTGTACTTACAAAGATAACTGCTTTGATGTTCTCAATAGTTAGGGAAAACTCAAGCTCATTTCCATGATCATGAAATTTAAGGAGAACATCTACCAGGTCTTCCTCTGCTTCACCCTCGCCACTTTTTGTAGTGACCAGATCCCTTTGATGTTCTTTGATGATGTTTCCCAATATCCTGTCAGCTTCTTTATGCAGCCTCTCAAGTTTAAGCCTCATTCCACTTAAGAGATGAAGCAAACTGACAGAAGGAAAAATATCTGTAAGAGCGAAGCCAGATGCTGCCTTTACAAATTCCTTCACAATGTATATGAATTTTTCTTGATCCCTGGTTTTTTTACCAAAGGCTGTTCGCGAAGTGATGGTATATGTCGATGAGTAAACTTCCCGAGTAATATTGATAGGTGATCCTGCTCTTGAGGCAATCCATTGAATGAGATTCACTACCTCTTCTTCTCTAATAGGTCGGAAAGATTGAACACGTTTTGTGCTTAAAAGCTCTAGCGTGCAAATTTTTCGTAGTTGTCTCCAGTATTCACCATACGGTGCATAGCCAATGTCTGTAGAGCCGTAAGACAAGATCTTTGCAGCAAGAATAGTGGGCCTTGATGCAAAGATAAGATCATGGGTTTTCATCACCTCTTTGGCAAACTCTGCTGATGAAACGACTACGGCAGAAACTTCTCCAAGCTTTAGGTGCATAAGCGGTCCGTATTTCTTGGCCAAGTCTCTTAGTCTATGATGTGGAAGAGAGCCAGCGAGCTGGTGCAGGTTTCCTATAACGGGTAGCTTCCATGGCCCTGGCGGTAGATTTGAGGCTGAGTACTTGGTTTTGCCTCTGATCTTCCCTATTTTCAGTACCATGATCATAAAGAGCAAGAAGGCTAACAGGACTTGGAAGGAAGGGCACTGAATCTCCATGAGGAAAACAAAGGTTACTTTGGATTGTAGTGGCTTTTGGTGAACGTTCATGCATTTGTATAGGAAATGATGTAGCAACCTTCTTCCTAAATTATTATTATTATTTTTTCTGATGCAAAGATTCTCTCAACTGTTTATTATCTTTTTCTTTTAATTAATAATATTTAACAGCTATTTGTCTAAGGTCTAGTATTATTGCTTCAAATAAATTATATATATACTAAAACTGAGTTCAGGAATTCACTG